ACTTTTTATTAATTAATTCAATATGTGTTCAATTTTAATTTTCAGCATCCATATAGTTTCATATCTTTACCTGTTATTCATTTATTTATTTCAGGTTGCTCTTAAGTTTGAACACAGAAATAGCAAAGGTTGTAACTATGGTCCTCCATATGAATGGCAAGTTTACAAGTGAGTGAATTTCTGGGTTTTATGAATGTTTTTCTTTTGATGAATAGAACTTGTAATTATACTCACCTCTGTTACTTTATTGAATAGTGCCCTTGGTGGTAGTCATGGAGTGCCAAAAGTACACTATAAGGGCAGGCAAGGAGACTATTATGTAATGGTGCGTGAACAGCTTCATCTTATTGTGGTATATGGTTTTCATTTTTTAAAAATATTTTTCCTTAAGTCCATATGTTCAATTTTCCTTTTCAGGTTATGGACATGTTAGGACCCAGCTTGTGGGATGTATGGAATTCTTCGGGGCAGGCGTGAGTTTCTTAAGCTTATCTCTATGTGGTTACATTTCTCACATATGTATATGTACATATTTTGCATTTCCTAACATTTTATCTTTACTTATCATTAACCTTAAAAGTAAAATGCTGGATAAATGCAATTTGCAGCTGCGGGATGTATTAGATTTGCATTCTTTGTTTCTGACAACGGTCTAGGGATTTTTATTAAATAAATACTTGAATGAGATTGGATGAGATCTTGAGATGACATGAGGTTGAGTAGAGGGATGTATACTATTAGGCTTTTAGAGATAACACTCAACCCATTATAGCTAATGCTATTACAAACTAAATACGAATAAGAATGCCATGGGTGTCTCTAGTCTTTTAGTAAAGAAAATTGTCAGTGCTTTGGTTTATGGATCGTGGAATATCAAATTTTGAACATTCATCTGCATGTTTGTCGTGATTGGATTTATGCAGCATGTCCGCAGAAATGGTATCTTGCATTGCAGTGGAATCATTATCAATCTTGGATAAGATGCATGCAAAAGGGTATGTAATTGTGGTTTCTTTATATTCATGTATTTATATTTTGGTTTACATATTTCTTCTTTAAAATAATTGATCAAATTTATAGTTCAGCATTTTGTATCTTGACCATTTTGTTAAAAAATGATCAATAGTTATGTGCATGGAGATGTTAAACCAGAGAACTTTTTACTTGGTCAACCTTCCACAGCACAAGAGAAGAAATTGTTTCTAGTTGATCTTGGATTAGGTGAGAAAATTTCTACGACTGTTATATTTGTGGCATATTTTTTATTGGTTTATTACTATTGCATAATGTTTCTTATATCATCTATATCTGCGAATCTTGCTATAGCAACTAAATGGAAAGACAGCTCTTCTGGACAGCACGTTGAATATGACCAACGTCCTGATATGTTCAGGTGGGTGATGTGTGCTTTCATTAACTACAAGTGCTATTGTGATCCTTATGACTGTTATTTTAATCCATAGTAATCATTTGCATGTTCCATTTGCTACTCAGAATCAACACTAGCATTATTTTTCTATCATGGGTCGTTATGTCTAATTATGTTGATATTGAATCAATGATCTTGATACTTTTTCTTGCCTATGACCTCAGAGGAACTGTTCGATATGCTAGTGTTCATGCACATTTGGGAAGAACTGCTAGTAGAAGAGATGATCTTGAATCTCTTGCATACACTCTTATATTTCTCCATCGGGGTAGGCTACCATGGCAAGGTTATCAGGTATTAAGCGTTGAAAGTGTATTTAGTATTGTGCTCAAGTTTTAGTTGCATTATCGAACTGATATGAAAACCTGTCCCTTTATGTTAGGGTGACAACAAATCCTTTCTGGTTTGCAAAAAAAAGATGGCAACATCTCCTGAAATGTTGTGCTGCTTCTGCCCTCCACCTATTAAAGAATTTCTTGAAATTGTGGTGAACATGAAATTTGACGAAGAACCCAATTATTCTAAGCTAATATCTTTATTTGAGGGTTTTATTGGGCCAAATCCAGCGGTAAGACCCATAAAAACTGATGGTGCCCAGAAGGTAATATAATTTCCCAATGTATTTGAATGAGGTTTTTCTTCCAATGTGCTATTGTATAAATTTTTCCTCTGATAATCATTGCTAGATTATCAGTCAAGTTGGACAAAAGCGTGGTAGGTTGAATATGGGAGAAGAAGACGATGGGCAGCCAAGAAAGAAAGTTCGTTTAGGTGTTCCTGCCACACAGTGGATTTCAGTTTACAATGCTCGACTGCCAATGAAGCAAAGGTAATGTTTCAAAGTGAAGCTTTCACGATGCCATAAAAATGCGATAATGAGTGTGACCTTTTGTGTTGACTCTCACAAATTACCGGGAGATTGTCAAACATGTGTTCTTCATCCCAAGAGCATTTATCTGATTTAGAGGATCTTATGCTGTGAAGTGTAAACTGTGAAGCATCTTATTAGTTCTTCCTTAAAATTTCTAATCAATTAAGAACTGTGGACTATTCTGTAATGTATTTTGAATGATACAGAGAAGGGGATATTGAGTTGGCATTCATTCCGTGAAAAATTTATAATGGCTTGTTCACAAAGAATTTTCTTTCTATGGTGATAGGTATCATTATAATGTGGCTGATGCAAGGTTGTCACAACATGTTGAGAGAGGAATTGCAGATGGTTTACTTATTAGTTCTGTGGCATCTTGTTCAAATCTTTGGGCATTAATCATGGATGCTGGAACTGGTTTTACAAACCAAGTTTACGAGCTCTCCCCCTTTTTCTTGCACAAGGTCATTTTCATTCTTTGAAGTTTGGAGTCAAATTTTCACTACCGAAGTTTTAAATTACAATAAATATTCCCTGAAAATTTGGAGACTGAAATGTTAAGTTATAAGCAGGAATGGATAATGGAACAGTGGGAAAAGAACTATTACATCAGTTCTATTGCTGGTGCTAATAATGGAAGCTCCCTCGTAGTGATGTCAAAAGGTTTGTTTGCTTTAATTATGTTTAATTTGAGATAGGTTGTTGCACTGTAGATTGATAATCTTTCTATCCTCTGTCCCCTGAACCTCCTTATTGTGATAAATCACAGGACATTGTTGTCTAGGTTTATTTGCACAATTAGGAACTGGTTTTATTCTTTTAATATTTCCTGCCTATTTCTCTATTGAAAAGGTCACAACAAGACTATAGTCAATAGAAGAGAATATCCTGGGAGGCATGGACATCCAAATTTTGGAAAATAATAATTCTTTGCAAAATTTGGGATTACTTTTTGTAACATGTGTTTAGTTTTTTTTTTTTTTTGCTCAAGTCTTAAGTTGATGAGCTTGGTTTTCTCTTTTTATTTTCTTCTGTACTTCCTTTCATCGTGATGAAAGTTGGTTCTTCATAATAGAAGAAAGAACATATAATTAAATGCGAATGTAGACAAACATTTATAGTTGCCTAGCAGCAGATTAAATAGATACTGGATAACGGACTTTATTCTAGTAGTCTGTTGGTTTGGATTTTAAGATGCTTTCATTCTATTATCACTTCTGCAGCAGGGTTCTTGCTATATGAATTTACGTATTTGTATTTTCCATCATTTTCATTCTCCATTTATCCTGCTTCTGCAGGCACTCAATATACTCAACAGTCATACAAAGTGAGTGATTCTTTCCCCTTCAAGTGGATAAACAAGAAATGGAGAGAAGGATTTCATGTGACCTCAATGGCAACCGCCGGAAGCCGATGGGGTGTTGTCATGTCACGCAATGCTGGTTTTAGTGATCAGGTTGAGTTTTGTTTATGTTCTCAGCATCTATGGTTAATTATGTTTTAGTATAACATTTTCTCTCAGTTTAAAGTTATTAATGCACAGGTTGTGGAGCTTGATTTCCTGTATCCAAGTGAGGGCATCCACAGACGATGGGATAATGGGTATCGAATAACATCAACAGCTGCAACTTGGGATCAAGCAGCTCTTATTTTGAGCGTTCCCAGGCGCAAACCTGGTGACGAGACTCAGGAAACACTGCGTACATCTCAGTTTCCAAGCACCCATGTAAAGGTACACACACAGCAGAACTGACATATGTGCAATTTGGAAATGGAAAAAATAGATTTTCTTAGGGATGTTTGTTTGTTGGTGCAGGAAAAATGGGCGAAGAATCTGTATCTTGCTTGCCTGTGTTATGGAAGAACTGTAGCTTAAATGAGATTTGATCCATCCCCCAAGGAATTCTAAAGAAGCAGCAGAGCCAGAGATTGATTTTGTTGTTGTTATGGGGCTTCCTCCCTGTGTTGTGATAATAGAAATAGTTGTTGCATTCCAAATCATCCTGTATTCTTAGCATATGGGAGTGGAGTTGGAGTACACGTCGGTGATTGTATATTAAATTGGTTCCGTCCAAAAGCTGTATAAATGGCTTTCTTTTTTCGGTTTAAATTTAGTCCTAAATTAACAAGTAAAGTATTCTGCCATTCAAGCTCGTCCATGTGTTCTAAAGAGTAATATAATAATCATATCAGGTATTTGAACAATTTTCCGAATTTCATTCCATTCCAGGTGCTGGGAAAAGCTATTTTATTATTTCATTTTTTATTATTCCAGGTGATGTGGTGATGACTTGTAAGGTAGTGGTATGCGCGCGATAGAGTAAATTTCAATTATGTTTTTCTTATTGTTTTTAAATGAAACATAAACATTTTACGAAGGAAGAGTTAATTCTAGATATGACCCTTCAGTCACCGACCCAATTCTATTAAAATTTTTTAAATAGATTAAAAAATTCAAAATTGAAAGAGAAATTAATTTCATCTCATCAAATGTAGTTGGAACTGCAACGTGTTGGCCATTTTTTTAAATAAATTTTTTGTTCCTGCAACTGGGGTTAAAATTAATTGTCATAATTTAAAAAATATCATAAGAGCCAAATAATATATAGTTTAATGATGTATTTAGGTAAATTTCTGTTTTATTTAAAGTACCCGTTTTTTCCTGCCTTTAAGGAAAAAGTTTTGCTATTAGAAAATGATGAAGTGAAATTGAATTTTAAGATTGTGGAAGAACGGGGGAGGGCAGGCGTAGGAACGAGAGTTGAGAGTGTTGGGTAATTAATTAGAGTAGCAGAAGGAGTGGTGCAGAGAGAAGAGAAGATGATGGCGTCTTCTTCTCATCTATCAGCCATTCCCCTACGCCTGTCTTCCACCTCCACAAGAACGAACTTATCCCACGGTGAGCGCTTTTTCCCTTTCTTCTCTACCCTCTAGAAATTGTTCAAGTTTGTGCCCAATTGTCGACTATCCTGCCACTTGCATTGCTGCACAGTTCTATTAGTAGAGGGGTTTAAATTTTCATCTCCGCTGCCCTGTGTTGTCGATCGCAGCACTTAATCCTCTGTCTTTTTCAGCTCTTGAAACCATGCGTATCCACTTAGTATTTAGTTTTATTTGCCGATTCAATTGTTTCTGGTCCCATTTATATGCTGAATTACTGATATAGCTGCGGACATAAAAGTTTCCTTATCCAGTTTTGGTGTGCTTCTTGTCATCTCCTTCTCCAATTGTTGTTTGAGACCACATTATTCTTCCGTTTCTGAAAGTTTTTGCTGTATTGATTCACTTGTCAACTTCTTCCCCAAATGGTCATTGAGAATACTGTCTTGCTGAGCTAGTTAACCACGAGCAGCAATACAACTGCTAAATTATTCCCAAATTATATTTTAGCTCGGTTTCAATTGGGTATTTGTTTCTTGTCAAACCTCAACAGCTAAATCAAAGCCAATTGTACTTAATGGGACCTCAAATTTGGACAATGAAAGCTGTAGTAGTGGAGATTCTAATACACCATCAAAACCACTTAAGGTAAGGATCTCCGTTTACTTCTTTGTCTTTTTAGATTTTTTCACGGCAACAACAGCCCATTCAAGATAGTGATACTTGTTTTAGTTTCCTTATTGTATTTATGATTTATAACCACAATTCTATACTGGGCAAGCAACAAGTTTATGTTAATATTATCATGTAATGTATTTACTGTGTAATGTGGATCTTTTGACAGCTATGATTTCTCACACTATCTATGACTGATTATGGTAGATTTAAGTTTTTGGAATGGTTGTAGACTGCATTTCATCTTTGATGCATGACTTGGATCAGAGCCCCTTAGATTTTTGGATGAGACTGACCGACAATTGTATTATGTCTTTGGACTATAAGGTACAAGAGCTCTGTAGACTTGGATATCAGTTTCTGAAATTAATTGATTGACCATATTCCAGAAACTGACACCTTTAAGTGCATTTCCAAATCTTTCTGTGATTTGAATCATTTGATATTTTTGTAATATAATCTAATCTTTCTGTGACAGCATTCAGAACTTAAGTCGATAACTATTATTTACCACAGGGAACTCAATTCTTGATCAGTCGCCGATGGTGCCTCACATGTTTGTGTTCATCCATGACACTGATAAAGGATTTTGGGGGCACGACTGGAGCTAGTGCAAATACCATGGATGGAAAACCTGTTTGCCGAAATTGTGGAGGAAGTGGTGCTGTACTTTGTAAGTATACCTTTTTGATTTGTTAGAATCTTCTTTGTTCCATGGATGGAATTTTTATTATTCTTTCATGGAGGCAGTTGAACTTGTTTAGTGCTGGCATTTCTTTACTAGTTATGAGGGATCGTTGAGGTTTAAATTTGATTTACTTGGAGATGGTGTTGATGGAGTTGCATTTATAGCCTCATAACATGTAGAAGTCGAGGAAAATCCATACGATGTTGGTAAAATTTCATTTCGGTATAATATAAACTAGGTAAGGAAATTGATATTAATTTTCTCTTTCAAAATACACATTATGGAAAACTTTCAACAATTTGACATTCTTTATTTGCTTCATTATTTATGTTTCCTTGTCTAAATTGTCATCAAGTTCTTCTTCTTATGAGCCTATCTTGGAGTTAAAAGACTCATTTCCATTTTCATTTTTATGTTGCTAGTTATTGAGCAATGCTTGGAATTTCCTTTCTAAAGATGTATAGAAATTTGAAGAGAATATACATGCAATAGCAAATTTTCTTTATGGTTTCCTTTTTCCTTTTATTTATTTTTATTTTTATTATTATTATTTTTTATCAACTTTATCTATATGGGCTCCGTATTTTCCATAGATGCTTACTGTTATTCTTCTTAGGTGACATGTGCGGTGGTACAGGCAAATGGAAAGCTCTGAACAGAAAACGGGCTAAGGATGTCTACGAGTTTACAGAATGTCCAAATTGTTATGGTAATATTCATCTCGATGTACAAATTACAGTGATCTCATCTATGAATGCGACATATCTTTGCATTGTTTCAGTTTGATATAACTTCACATCTGCTGGTACCTGGAAAGTAATGTCCTCTTATGCTGTTTCTGATAGCCTTGGGAAAATTGACTTTTAGTTCATTTTTTTCTTGCAAATTTAGGTACTTGAATCCATGATCGTTTGATCTTGCGAGATACTGAACTGACCTCTTAAGATCCCTGGACAATGACCAAATTCTGTTCCTAATTTACAAAAATTTCAAAAAAATAAAATAAAAAAGAAAAAAAAGGAAAGGAAAGAAAAGAGGGATTTCCATACCTTAAGCTTCCATTATTGCATTCATCACCTGTTTGTGTTATCGCACTGGCAATATCTATATTTTTATTATTGCAACTTGCACGGGAGATTTGTTATTTCGTTTTATAATCTCATCTCTCTTCTTTTATACTGATTTGTAATTTCTTGTGCAGGTAGAGGAAAACTTGTATGTCCTGTTTGTCTAGGAACTGGTTTACCAAATAACAAAGGTCTCCTAAGAAGGCCTGACGCACGAAAATTGCTCGATAAGATGTACAATGGTCGCTTGTTACCAAATTCTTGAACTTCATCTCGTTTCTCACAAATTAGCCTGTCTAGGTGATACATGTATAACTTGTTTCAGCTGGTATAAGTTACATGATTGTAGTTTTTGTCATGGTTGGCTTCATGTCATTCATTGAGTGGAATAACGTAGGTATAACTTAGATGGCCATCCTTTTTGATGCTCAAAACACCCTCTAATCGTCAAATTCATTTTGTTCATACCAAAAAGAGTAGAGCATATACGTCAAATCACACTGTTCCATCCTCGTCGCAAAGCATTGTCAAACATGATCTAGTTTTCATAGATTACAAAGGGGCAACGTGAATTCAAATTTATAAGAAATTCAAAATCACGTTAATGCAAATGAAAGAGAATAAAGAATAGAAACAAAGGAAAAAAGATTAGGAAAGAATCAGAAAGAGACAGCAACAATCATGCCAACTTTTCGGTGCAGCAAAGTGAAACGGATGTAGAAGCTCAAGCCAGTATCCTTATGAATGAGGCAGTGGATTAAATATCCTTTGATGAAGTTACTTGTGATTGTGTTGAGCGAGGCAAGTGATCATCTAAAGAGAATTATAGTTTATACATCCTCATAGCTCTCGTTCAAGCCTTGGCCTCACTAAGATTCGAACTATTGATTTGTGTCGTTGAAGTTCGAAAGCCTTCAAAATCTTTGTCTCCACACAGTAGGCTTGAAGATGCATGCCTTGTATTCTTCATCATGAATTCCATATTGATGAGGATAACTTTCTGTTCATGCTACAAATTTTAAGCAAAATCATTTCATCCAACACAAACTTTAGGCTCACCCTTTTTCCTCTTCTTTTCACTTTGATCAAGTGGTTTGTTTGCAGCGTGATCAGTCTTGGAGACAATTTTTGATACTGTAAATCCAGCATCTTCAAAGAAGTTCGATTGGTAAGGGATGACAGAACTTCGAATAACAAACTCGACTCCCTCGTAAGTCCACCATAGTCCTAAGATTGCTTCTCCTTGAAGTCAAATAGCAAACCACCCGAGGCCAGCAACAGCAATGTCTACCCAACTTGAATCCCAACTACTACCACAAACACGAAATTCTCTTCTCACCCATTTTCCAAGCTCTGCAACTCGATCTTTACCTATAGGTGGCTGAAGCATGAAACATTGAGGATTCCTTAACAATTACATTTACTATAACAGAAACCCTAAACAACTACATAAATGTAAGAGAGTAAGGAAATTCCGAAGCCAACTTTCCACAAATATGAGATCAAGGCTTTCCAAAAAAGAATATGAAAACACTATGGCACCCCAAATGTTGCAAAATGAAAAACGAGAAGGGCAGTTAAACCACCGATTAACTATTCATAACATGATCATAAGTATCGAATAATAAAAAACAGGATCATAAGCATCAAACAATATCGATATGAGATAAATAATAGAAGCCATATGCACATTCTTAAGACTATGTCATTTAGGAAGCCATTGACAATGAAACTCGGAAGACGCTTACATAAACCAATTCTGGGACAGCACTCAAATTTCAGCAACATGATGCAAATGGTTATAGTGAAAATAATACTGTAACTGATTGCCAAAATCATCCTCTTGTATCTTGCTTGCATTTTCTATTTTCCCCATGTGTAATAGTAGATAAGGAGAGCCCACACTGTAACATAAATTGAATCTACAAATGTTTCTTCCACATCTAGCCTCATGACACCCGCAACATGAATTGTATGACCAGCCTAAAAAACGGACAAAAAGAATGAAATCTCTAGCACATTACTTAATACTAATGATCTCAACTTATGCTTGAAGTTAAAATTAATGTATATGCTATTTTGCATATTAGCCAATAAAAATTTCACTTCAATCCATATAATACATTTCAAAGATCATGAATTTATAGTTCAAGGAATATATAGCTAACCAGCATCTAAATCTGATTTAGATTTACCTTTATCCTGTAAGTCCTCGGCTTCAATTCCTTGCTAATGTGAACAAGTTTCTGCTCTTCCCTTGTCAATCTTGTCGTAATCTGGTGGGGATTCAGAAGCCCAGGCGTATCGAACAACTTGGCTTGACCCGGAAGAATGCCCTCCACTCTGATTATCCCCAAAGTTGTTCCAGGCACTGGTGCTTCAGTCAATTGCGTGATCTTCCCACCAACGTGCATTCCTATTGAATTAATCAACGTGCTTTTCCCAGCATTTTGTGCTCCAATTGCCCACGCATTTCCTCTTGGCCCAGCCAAACTAATAACATCCTCCACCAAATTTTTCAATCCCCAATCTCTAATAGCGCTTACCATGTGCAAGCTCGTTATCTTCCTTCTTCCCTCGCTCTCCATCTCACCCAGTGCTCAAATCTCGTGGGTTATAACGAGGTAGGCAACAGATCTATTTTTGTCACCACAAGCACCACTCTAGGCACATTACCTGATTTCCCCTGTTTCCAGACAGCTGAATTCTCCTCAAATTGTCTCCGACACCAAATTTGCTACCTTCTTTGAAAATGACCTCAACGACCATCAACACGATAGATCGGGTCCTCGTAGTCGACGCCAGCCTCCTACCAATAGTATGATTGAAATCGAAATCCGGTAACAAATTCTCTACTGTAGGACCCTTCACCTTCCCATGAAACCTCAATGAGTGGCACCGCGAGCATACGATAGGCGCATTTGGGCTTTCTCGATCGCATTATCTTCCGTTTTCTTATTCCCAGACTCGATTACGAGGCCTCTCTTCAGGGAATCGGAGCATTCAGACTCGTGATCAACGGGCACGAGATGCGTAAGCAATCGATAATTGGAATCTTTTCTGGAGGGTTTGACGAAGAAACCAGGATGGTTGGGATTTGGTGTCTTGCATGTGAACTCCACATCCAGGGCAGACGAGGAAGAATTGGGAAGCGGCTTCGTCGTAGTTGCCATCTGGGGCGTACTCATTTAGCACTAAAATATTTGGGAAATGTGGTCAGTAATAAAAAATTATATGTTAAAGTTAAAAGCTCTTCACTGCAATCGCTTCGATCCACCCCCTTGGGAGGGTAAAGAGCTTTCAACGCGGCCTCACTTACGTCTCTCTTTTTTTTGCAGGTTAAAAAGAATAAACTCATCTCATTCTAAAACCTTCGATGCCGACCGATTACCCTCCATCCACGGATTTGCAATCACCCTTTATACCTGGAAGAAGCCCTCCCCACTTGCTTCTCAGACCTGGAACACATATTTGGTTAAGATTGATGGCGTCGTGCAGGCGATTTCTGCAAGAGGAGGAAACAAAAGGGAAGCGAAAGGGAGAGAAAACAGGAGAGAAAATGCCACATCTACCCTAAAATAAAATTATATAAAACTAATATATTTTGCCATCTCATTTTAAAATCCATGTCAATAGAATCCGCCCATCAATTTAATTGCTGCGTCATCTTTTTTTTTGTTAAATATATTAATGGAAGTTTGACTTCACGTATCTTTTAAAATTGTTAATTTTTTAAACTTATGATCTAAATAGAAACCAATCTTCAAATTCAGGAACCAAAGGTGTAGTTTTGATTTTATTATTCTTATAAATGTATAAATGGGTTGCCATTACTGTGAATAATTTGTCATTTCTGTCATATATATTTGAAGCAAAAAATTATATTATACAAAAAAAAAGAAGCAGAAATGTAGATGATGATGAAATATCAAGCTTCTAACAATGCTGAACCGTAGCCTTTACAGAGATAAGTCTCACATATTGTACAAATTTTGAGAATGTATATATTGTTCTCAAATCTCACCGTACTCTCCATATTCGTCCTACAACCTTGAGCTTCAGTTCCTGGCCATGATTTCCAGAGCAGAACAGAGCCAAGTTCCTGTGAATGATCAATCCATCCTGACTGTCCCGAACCTTCCGATGGCTATCCCTGATGCTTCTCGGCGTACCTTGCCACATGAGTTTTCTCCCATTTCCACCAACTTCCAAACTGTAAGAAAATTTCTTCGCATCATCGTCGTCGCCCATGAACCGGAGGAACGCCATGTAAACAGGTGCTGTTCCTAACCGAAATGCTTCAAAGTGCAAACAGAATTGTCGTCCAAAGCAGTTAAATACCTGCAATAGATTCATATGAAAAACAGAGAATGTTAAATGAAATGCTGCTTCTTTCATCCTAAACACGAAAATCAGAGTTTATGCAGGAGATTCCAGCCATAAACAGAGAGAAACAGAGAGGGAGATCTCACAGTTAGCATCCATGTAGCATTTTCAACTTCTCGGGGATTGGATTTGACGTATCTATGGCTGAAGGAACATCCCTCATGCATATCAACCTCGTGATCGTCCTTGAGATGCATGACGAGGTACGGGATGTCACCAGTTACAGAACATTCACCTCCTGCATAAGGGCAGTTGTAGGGGCGATATTTACAGTTCTTCTCATGTTTAAGCTTGCTGTAGTATGGGAGCGTGTCAATGCAGCCTAGATTTTGGTACACACAAGGGAGTTCGAGCGACTCGGCCACCTTTTCCAGCACTAGGCACCTTATGTTTCCAAGCTCATGGCGGCACGTAGGGCAGCAGTTGTGAACCCTTGACTTGCAGCTTGAACAAAGGGTGTGGCCATTTGCACACTAAAACATAAAACTATATCAGCTGCTATGGGATTAGAGTTACCTTAAATGTGTTAATAAACTCAGCCACAGTGCAACTCAATGATTTAACAAAATAGCCTTCCATTTGAAGGTAGAGTGAAGCCAGCTAGAACGCTTTTTATACTTCATTGAAAACTATTTTCGGGGACAGAAGGATTTCTTAATAATGCACGAGGCCTCTAGGCATTAAACTTTGATTCAAGGTCACAAACTTATGGCATTTGTTTCAAGATTCCTTCTTGGATGGGCAAGCATTGTAAGTTCTGAAATTCATCACAATTAGAATATGGTACCTGGTAAATTGGAGGGTGCATTAAATCCATGCAAACAGTGCAATCTAGTAGCTCATGTACATTGTTACAATTCCTGCCAAAACCAGTGGAAGATTTCCTGGAAGAGACGCTTTTGAACTCTGGACGAGAAGTTGCTGCTTGAGAATCTATCGATGTAAGGCGCAACTCGGTCACTTCCTTGCAGAAGCTGGCCCCAGAAGAAGAAGTATGTTCTTCCCTTAACTTCTTCTGCTGGTACATCTCCTTCTCTCTGAATTCTACAATACTCATGGGATCTCTGAGATTTAGTTAAAAGAGAAGTGTGATTACCAGAGGGACTTGTTTGAACAACTTATAACTGGTTCCGTAGAAACTTTATGTTATGCAAGCATCTCAAAACTGGTTCCATGGACCAATTAATTTGTAGGAAGATCACATCAGCAATGTGGAGTTGATTCAATCATATTTATTGCCGAAGGTGCAATGTAAATTGCATAATAATACAAAAAAGGGATTCAATTCTTGAATCTCTGGAAATTACAAATCAAGAATTATCGATCTATAAAGCCATACGTATATTTATAACATACCAAAGGCAAAATTCGTATCCAGAAATCAAATGAAAACTAGAAGTGAGCTGAAATTTGATAGAGCAAGATGTGCAAGGAGGAAAAACAATTAAGGTTCAATCATTCTTCAATGCTTTCATAAATGTATTTATGAAAGCAAGGGATATCTTGTAACAGTGCAGGAAGTACAGAATAACCTGTTCAAAATGGAAACTATAAGGAAGAATCTTCAAGGTATTTTTGAATTAAAAATTCATGTTTGCATTACAATTTACAACAACTCAGTAGTCATAATTGGATGGAATAATTGTTGCCTTGTACAACAGAAAAGTGGGTTAAAGAGTGAGAAATTAAAGTTACATCAGCCCAACAGGAGCACAAAATTTTATTTTCTTTTGTAGTTTGGCAACTGTGATGGGATAAGAATCTATAAACAGAAAAGTAGAATATAAGGGGAACTAAAAGAAAACAACAATTTATCTATTAATAGCTGGTTTTAAAAACACCTCCGTTTAAAATTAATTGAAAAGAGCTAGCATTATTCCGTCTTAGTTAACAATCAAGAACGAAAAAGAGAAGAACTAAGCCAAATTCCCATGGTTTCGAATTGTTTAACAGTCACGAAGATAACCAGAATGCAGCATCCTACATGACAACAATGAAATTAAACGACGATAAATTTTCAACTAGCATTTTGAAGAATCAACAGAAGAGCAACAGAATGACGAACAAACATTAAAAGTAGACAAAGAGACCGCCGTACCCAGATGGAAAAAAATTGAAGCAGAAGCAGAAATTGCAAAATGGTTAAGAAATGCAGTAGGCAGATAAGATTCTGATCCCCAAATGCTTGAATATCCAACTTTGCGCCGCTCCGCCTTCCAATAATTGCAAAATTCTAGGGCCCCAAAAGGAAAATCAAAGGACGAGAAAGAACAAGCTGGTGGGTGGTGAGGTGGAGCAATGTCGCGGGCGAGGATTGTACGTGTGGCGCCTTGATTGGCACAACAAATCTCTGGAGAGTCAAATAATTTTGGTTGCTGAGCAGCCCCAAACGGATCGCCTACTGGTGATTGATCCTTTTGGAGAAAACATTTGATTAAAACAGAGAAATAATAAAGAAATTGGGGAAAGAAACAAGGAATCGAGCTCCTGAGGCACGGCGACAGCTAGCGTAGCGTTCTCGTTCATGGGAATAATTTTTTTAAGAAGCTTTTGAAAATGGGGCTATTCCTGTTCCTGTGCCTCGTCTTTATTAGTGGAGTGGCGCAGTCTTGGCTTTTGCAGACGCGAAGAAGCTGACATTTCCCGCACGCAACGTCTCCCAAAATTTATTTGCCATTCCCTGGAAATCTGGCCGTTAAACTGGCACCATTTTTTAAAGAACCACAGTGCTATAATCCACTACGCGTGAAACACTTGAAGCTCTACCACATGTCGGCTGTGGACTGGTTCCCCGAAGATGGATCGAATTCATTCCTTTTGTGTATTCGAGCTCACGTAAACCTGAGCGCATTTGATTACAAGTCGGCGTGATGTCCACGTGGTAGTGAAATGCACAGGAATCCAATGTAACCAAAGCATAAAAAACTTTGGTAATAAAACAAATTTGAGAATGGTGTGACCATTCCTGAGAGATTCAACTAATTTGTTGACTTAATTAAAATTTTGATCACATCAATGATGTCAATTTGAACATAGTTCAACTAATTTAGATATATATCTATCGAAACATTGTTACATATATTGTACTAAAAAATGTAATAATGACTAATTAAGATTATTTAGTTATAATTATTAATTTATTGAAATTTTTAATGAGCAAATTTGATTTTCCTTTATTTCTAAGTTATTGGATTCTTTCTAGTGGCTTAAATGTTGTCTATCAACAAATGTATCAATTGATTTTTCCAAAGGTCCGTTGTTGGATATATAAAAGTATTGTGATATGAAATTTAAATGGGGATAAATTAGTATAGAAAAAGAATTTTTTTTCCTCTTTTCTTCTTTCGAGAATGATCGAATATTATTTTTTTTTTCTTTTTAAACAACATGACATGAAACTATAATTATCAGATACAACTTCTATAAAGCTTAGAAATTGAATTGATCTAGAAATTTCTAACATAAAATCTTCATTCTTGTTATCTCACAATTAATAATCTAATCATATTTATATCTAAAGATTAGTTAGAATCTTTTTGTTAGTAATATTCCAGAAATCCGATCATCTAAGGTTGATCCTAGATTTAAAAAGTTCAAATTTATTGGAGCCTAACAACTTAAAAGCAATTATGGGTGAAAATTGTATTACTATTATGAAAAACATGCCTAACAAGTACATGATTTTTATTTACGTAATTAAAGAATCTTTTGAAAAATACTATATAGGAATCTACGACCTACCTGTCAAGATTCTACGTATCATCGTTTACTGATTTTTTAATTAATGTGAACATAGTTTAATTAGTCAATGTATTACTTACTCCTTCTTCCTACCGACTTTAATTGTTCTCATTTTAAAACATTAAAATTCAAACTTCTTCAATTAAATTATAAAAAAAAATGGAAGGCCCATATTTAACAATTATGATTCCACCAATTTATGGGTGAAATAGATGTGAAGAGAATGATGCATGGACTTTCGTAGGGGAGAGCATATTTTGGTTACCTTTCATGATTGAAATGGAAGTTGCTTTTGGATTATTTGAGTCAATACTGTGGCGAATATGTAATATTTACATCAATTTGATTGCAATAGAGACGTGTAATTTAACCCGAATCTAACTCATTATTAATATTGTTATAGAAAAATAGAACGGTCCAGACAAGATGTTTCCGGTCAGGGCCGATCCACGACAATGAGGGTCGGCCCATTCAAGGCCGACCAAGCCTTGGTGTCGAGGCCTCCTCCTCCACACTGAGGTGTTCTCGGCTAAGGCCAAGAACATCCCAAGACGTCTCTCCCAATCTCTGTGCCATCCGACCCATATTTGTCTTACTCCTATCCCGATTCAACCTTTGGCCCACAACGAAACACTTTAGGGTCCAAGAGCCTGGGTTGCATGATTGACCTAGGGTTTAAGTCATACAAACCCGAGGTGAGAAGGGAAGACCTCAAATAGAGGAAGAGTCGAGCATTAGAGGTATGTTGAATAGACTTTATTCCTGATATTATTCTTCTTCGATACTAACTTAGGCATTGGAGTCCATGTGGTAACAGCCACACCAATTCAGAGCGGTTTGATTTTACAGGTCATATAGTCCCTCTCGTTTTGGAAGAATTGCTATGAGTTTTACAACATATGGGGGTGGGGATCAAAGTCAGAACCTCTTGATCAAAGATATATGTCAATTATTGTTAGGTTCATTTTGACACTTGAAATGGCATCCTCTTAATTTATCCCATGTTAATTAATGACTGATGTAATTAATAAATTGTTAAAATATTTGTAGTTTTAATTTTTATTTCGTCTGTACTTTTATAAATATTTATTATTATTCTTATCATTTAAGAGATTATTGTGGTTGAAAAAAAGGATATATAGGTTGAATGTTACTTTTTACTGCAACCAATAATATTATTTAGATTTCTTTGGACTCACTTTTTAGTGCCTAGGTATAATATGTGTTCCTATTTACTATATCTGCAGCCATATTTAGAGTGATGCCCACTTTGTCGGCAGAGTACCACACTAATATTAAATTTTTGTACAAATTTAGTTGGAGTTTAAAACAAAAAAACTACGTACTACCCATATATCACTTGCTAGCAAGAGAGTTTGCGTATACCTAACTCCAAGGTCTTAGCGTTACTTTATATATGGAGAGAGAGAAAGTGAGAGATGCAGTCGAGAGGCCTTAGGCCCACCGTCATTCTGGTGCTTCTATAGTACTATAGAGAGGTGTGTGGTGCCTTCTCGACACATGTCAGGATCGTCTATAGGGTGTCAGCACCTCCCTTGCTGACTACATACTCAGTCGAGTTGTTTTGGTGTAGTCGACGCTTCAATCCAGTGCGCTTGGATCCTTTTAAGCCCTTCTGTGTGCTTGCACGTTGGAGTCTGATGTGTAAAAATATAGTGCAAGAGTTCATATAGTAGCAAGAGTTCAGGATAGGAACTAAATTCAAACCAAGAAATTAAATAAAATATTAGAATACGAATTGCAATTTTATCGAAAGGAAAGATAAAACCTTATCCAAGAAAAAAAAAATATGGGGGACAGAACTTTAAATTTGATGGGGAAAAAGGCTATTCTTTATGAAATGAAAAAGAAAGTAGCTTTTTCTTGCCATTTAAATTGCAAAAGAAAATAACTACGTTGAGAAGGAATCACATTCCGGGAAGGATATACGTGGTTTGCCATGTATGGTTCATTTTTTTTTTATAAAAAAAATAACACTGCATTTAGAAAGAAATAATACCACTAAGAGTTAAATAGTGGTGATCACGCACCACAATCAGAATCAATTAAAAAAATTATCTTCATTCAATGACGTCGGAGGAGAATCCTCAATAAATGGAAGGATCTTATAAATTATGGTATCCCTATGTAGAATTGGATATGAAATAATTACCTTCCAAAGTTGTCTTAATCTCCACCATGACAGGTAAGGGAGGATTAGGTAAATTCCCCAAATCATGTTGGCGAATCTCAATACAATAAAGACCGATAGCCTCAATAAATTCCAAAACGGTGTTTGAGTCGATCGCCACCGCACCTCCGCCATCGCCCACCTTTTGCTCCATTATCATTGCCACAATGTAAGTTTTCTGAACAAGGATGGAAAGAAGATGAAGAGTCATCTCAAGAAATCATAGGTGGTTGCCCTCTCCAATTTTGAACTTGATAACTCTTCAAAACTTCCTGATGACGAAGCCATGAACCATACATAAAAATGTTGTCTCTGATTTTTGTCAACCGCAACAGCACTGTTGACATCCAACGGGGAGATTTCGACACCTGACCACCATCCACCATTACAGAAACCAGCAGAAAAGAAGGCTCCTCCCCGAAAATTGCCTCCACAACAATAAGAGAGGTCTATGTTATATTTCGACGTATGCCTACTTACTTCTTGAAAAAATTCATAGAAAAACTGAAACAAAACAGAGACGGACACCATTTGAAAAAAAAAACTCAATCGGAGGATTGAGAGAAAACGCATATCCTTTGCAGGGAGGATAAGGAGGAGAGAGGAACAGACCATTGAACACTGGCCACTCCGCTACTCTCTTTTTTCTCTAACACTTCTGAAAAAATTAAGCCTTCACACTGTATGGTTCCATTAAAAACAACTACTTATTCGGTACTTTAAGAAAAGACCAACTTATTCCAAACTTACCTTGCTAGTAACCTAAATCAATGTTTGGAATAACCTAATTACTTAGACTCTCTTATATTTCAATTTTAACTTGAAAATAATTTGTAAGTTAATAAAAAAATGTATTATCTCTTAAAGCTCTCTCGCTCTAGTTTCTCTTCGCGATTATAAAATTTATTGTCACTTATTTTGGCCTTTGCTAGGAATCATATCAATTTGATGTATATATATATTTAATACCTAACTAGTCCATCGTTTTTTGGAGTGATATGTGGCTAGTTCAGCTATAATTGATTCAAGAAGTAGAATATGATAAGGATGAGATCCTACTTTTTTTTCAATCTGATTTCATTATATATTTCAATTCAATTGTTAGTTCTTCAATTTATTGTGATTTATTCTTGCTTCTTTTTAATATGCTTTTCTAGTTATAAATTCAACAAGACGTCTATCTTCCTTATTTATTTGTTTCCTTATTTATTTGTTTTAGAATTCGGAACTCAATTTAAGACGACACACTTTAACCATCATGCATAGGTTGAACCTATTTGTTCAAAGAAGCCAAAGAAATTCAAAATAATTTTGAGGGGAATGAATTCAAACTTGGTGGCCAACCTACTTAGGATTAATATCTTAGACGGTCTGCACACCCACAAATATAAAAAGAATACGCTTTTCTCATTAGTTAAGATTTTTTTTCCATTCAACATATATATTTAAAACCCAAATTTGCACAAGTCAAACAATGAGTTTATGGATAAGAATAGGATAAATTTCAAGGTTGAACTTATTGAACCCCTTCTACTTAAAATTAATAAACTCTGTTATATTTCACTTGCAAACCATTTGTAGTTAATATAAAAGATTTTATTATTATCTATAAATTAAAGCCTTCACCTGAAACTTTAAACTTCATTTGAACTCCTTTTTCCTCATATTGAATTGCCGCCTGATGTTCGCTAGGATCATATCAATTTGGTGTATGTATTAAAATCTAATTAATTCGATGGTTACGTGTTTGAAGTATATAGCCTAATTAATGAAGTAGAATATGATGGGGATGGTGGAAGCGCCCTAGTTTTTTTTTTTTTTTTTTTAAATATGATTTCATTACATATATTAAATAATTGTATTGGTCAATTGTTAGTTGGTCTTGTCATTTATTCATGCTTCTTTTTCAAGTGATATACTTTTACGTCATTATTATTTCAGTTATAAATTCATGGAGACCGCTTTCTTATCCTCATTTATTAGGAACTCAATTGATTAAGTGACTTTTTCCGAAGAAAACAATGAGCTTATTAGGACATGGATAAATTCAAGTTGCGTTGTTAAAGCAATGATAAGCATATTTTTAAAACTTTATTTGACTTCTTATCCTAATTTAAAAAATAAAACATTTAAGTTTTTTTTTTTCGTTTCAAAATTACTTGGTTTCTGATAAATTAAACGAAATCATAGTGTTTATAAGCTTAATTTTAAAAAATAGAAACAAAAAAAAAAACAAAATAGTTCTCAAATGGGTCCTATTTTATCCAAAGAAATACGATGGAGTTCAATTTGCCAAAATGAGAACTAATCAAATGGTCATTGCTTTTGGTCCCAAATTTTTGGGGTTGTTTTGGTTACATTTCTTTATAAACAGTTTAAGGATGAGTGATGTTTGGGGTAGTTGTTCATATGTGCCTGTGACTTCATTTTTTATCATGCAGTAGAAGACCTGGAAATTTTTGTGAGATTCTAACTTTTTTTTTATCATATTTTAAGAATGATCTCTAAACTTTTAATTTAATTTTTAATAGATATATTTAATTTAAAACTTGGCATAATAACTATTTATTATTTATATTTTTTTAATAATATTGCAAGCCACATAAATATCAAGCATACAACCCATAAAGAAGGAAAGAACCAAACATGTTGTACTGATGAAAGAGGCTAGAAAAGGGAGGGCAATTGTCATGCTAAATAGACCTATCGTTACAAAACTCATCAAATTTTGTGTTTTTCGTAAACTCAAAAAGTAAATAAAATGCTTCAAAATTTGTAAATCTTCTCTACTTTGTCCTCGTCCCTTCCCTTCCCGTACTACATTTTTAGAAACGAACGATTGTTAATATAAAATTTTATCTCTCTATAATTTTTTTCCACCGTGCTAATAGACCTAGACCTATCGTTAAACTAATAGACCTAGAATAGAAATTTATTGGTCATAAAATTGAAAATTTATAGATATATTTTACTATAAAAGTAACGGGTAACTATTTGTTAATTATGACGGGTGATCAATTTAGGAATTGTTGTTGGAGTAGGGGTATGGTTCTGAATGCAGTCGAAGAGCAAATAGAGTGAACGCAAAAAATATTAATGATTGTGGATGGATGAGAAAATATATGAAACTTTGGTCACTTTTGTTATGATTGATATATTGACCATCAAACAAAGTAGATAGAAACACAAAAGTATATATATTTTGTCTTCCTGAAACTAAACTAAACAAGGACTCCAATCAAACGAAAGCTTGAGCAAGGGATCCACCGCCCGCTCCCGTTTTACATTATTTACTATTTATTAATTGTATTGGCTATTGGGTCTGAACTTTGACGACATAACCGATGGAAATTAAACGACACAGGACAGATGCATTTGTATGAATTATAATACACTTGGACGGCACGTATTACTTAATCTGTGGGTGTGTTTTTCAGTTGAGCCTTCTGCAATTGGACCTGATTTCGCCGGCGGTTCCGGTCAAAGGGTCAAGATTTCCCATTCTAATCATGGACTGAGCGAAGGCGGAGAAGAACTGGCTCTGGCTGCCGGCGAAGCTGTTGACGATACTGATGGTGGGAGCCCCGGCGGTGGAGAACAGAACCTGGTCGCTTCCCAGCAGGCCACGGTTGTTTTGGAGATTTGTGAAGTAGTTGCTGTCGAACGTGTCCGGAGTGGTGGGGTCCAGATTCACGAACGTGTCTCTTCCGGGTTGGCAACTCTGCCGGAGCTGATCTGCGTACGTCGAGTCCAGGGGCGGGTCCGGGCTTGAACCGTCCAACCGATTGTCAAAAAATCTGCATCTTGATCGCCCGAACGTGTGTGCACCTATATTATATTATATTAAAAAAATAAAACACTATTGTAAATATATAGTATAAGAAAAGAATAATGGCGTGTGAGTTATTTAATTAAATTAATTACCGGATAAAGCAACGAGATCAGTGGTGTCATCTAGGCCAACATCACTGAACTTTCTTTGAAGTACAGAGAGATCCTCAAAAGGACTTGGAAGCCTATTCCTGGCTCCATCCACATTTGCTGTTCTGCTGTCTCTTCTTCCCAATTGAACTGTCCAACCCTCTCCTCCTGCCTAACAAATTCAACAACGTATTCCATCAAACTTACTGAACAAAAACATTAATCTGCATGCTGTGTCAATTATATTGAGATTTTTTTTTTTAATGGAAATTACGTTGGATCAGTACCAATGTAACAGCATCTCGAGAGGATAGGGCTAGAATGTCGGCACAGGAGACGACGCCTGGGCAAACATTCTCCACAGCAGTTTTGATGTCGTTAACGATGTTGAATCCTGTGATGCCTCCGTTTCCTGGCGCACCAAGCTCGCTCACCACGCCATCCTGATCCTCTAGTAGAACCGACCCGTCACATCCCTGTACCACCATACACATCCACATGCTTAGTTAAGTTGATAAGGGAAAATAATCTCTCTTCAATTTGAATAACCACACCTAAGCTAATGAGTCAGAGTAAATTTAATCCATCATTATGGAGTAAATTTAATTTATTATGGATATCTAGTACTCTCATCACTTGTGGACTTGAAAAATTGTACAAAGTCCAACAAGTGAAAATCAATAGTAAATAAGGAGGAATCAACGTGATACCATCTTAAATATGAATAAATGACCACAAGTGAAAATCAATAGGTTAGGATAAATTTAATTCATTTATGGATATATGAAAATATCTTCGTTATTAAATCGTGTTTAGATGGACAAATTTTATACCGTTAAACAAGAAGAATTTGAAGGGAAGAATAAAAAGTCAGAAAATTTAATTACGTCGACAAAGCAATCGTGGAAGTGGAGGCGGATGAGTTTGGCCCCAGCTCTGTCGTCACCTCGGAGAGCTTGCTGCACAACACCATGCACAATGCTGGACACATTGGGACATGTGGAGTCGTAGAAAGTGGAGCTCAGCTGAGCAGTGGCACACCCAACCATCAAACACAAACACAAAACCAAAGGAACAGTAATAGCGTTAAGAGAAGCCATATTATATAATGGAAGGGAAAGATAGAAAAAAGAAGCTAAATTGAGATGGCTAAGTTATAAAACTGAGCTCAATTAAGCTCTTGGTTTTGGGCTTGGTGATGGAGTATAAACAGAGCATGTCCTTTTATAGGCAAAAAGAAGGGGTGTGGTGATTACAAGCTGATGGTGCAAAAGATAAATTGAACGTTGAAAATACGCCACCCTTTTACTTTTCAAATACAAAAACTGCAGAGATTTGGATTTGCGGCCCCCCTTTGAATTTTCTTCGCGGGCATTTGATTGGGAACAGGCACAAGGCAAAAGGCAATAGGCAATAGGCAATAGGCCATGGCGGGGGGAAGAAAGATTCAATATTGGAGGAGTAAGCCAGCCACAAGCGAGCCTCTCAGCTCTTGCTTATTTTTATATTTAAACAAAGAAGAACATATTACTTCTTAATTTAATTTATTATTTTGGCTTTATCCAAAACTGATTAGCGGCTGTTGATTAGTCAAAAAACTTTGCTGAATTATTGGCTAAGGCGAAGTAAACTATAGAGAATGAAACAGGAATTAAAGTATAATTGAGTACGTTTGTCTTACTCCATTAAAAAAAATAATATGTATCTCTATCAAAGGGTTGAATTGAATTCGTAAACATGATTGTGATTCTGATAAGACAATGGATTTGCACGGTGAAATTCAGGCCAGAATATACCAATTTGATGTTTTCACTTTTTCAAAATCTTTTACCAATTACTAATCATGCTACTTGCTAGCTTCAACTTTTTCTATTTTTTCTATTTTTTTTCTTCTGAAAAATATAGTTTAAATATATACACATAAAAAGGAAAATATTTTTCACTCCTCAGAGTATTGTACTTCTAAACACTTACGTGGTCCAATAAATCTCAATATATATTTTCTATTTTTTTCTCTCCTCTCAAAATTTTGACCCTTTCTTTATCTCTATCTCTTTTTTCATTTCACAAAATTGCAAGTACCTCTCTTATTCATTTGTCTTATTTTTTTTATTTTTTAAAATTAGATGTATCTTTTTGTATTTAAAAAACATGAGGAAAAAAATAAGACAAATGAAAAGACAAATATTTTTTGAAAAGTTCAACTTTTTCCTGTATGTACTATTGGATTGTGAAAAAAATATCAAGTATTTTGTTTGTTGCAAGGAGAAAAACATAAGAAAATTTTGTTGTAACAATGAAAATAATATATATTTTTTGAGACATAAATATGTGGTATTGGAAAGTATACAATAAATTTGAAAAAAAAGATATAGTAAATTTGAATTAAAAAATTCAGTCAGACATAAAAAAATAAGGTGAAGCATTACAGAAAGTATAAAATTAGAAGAGATGAGCCTGAGGGATAAAAAAGAGGAGATATTGATGAGATATTAAAAATTAGTAAATAATAAATTGTTTGTATGTGGGCTATAGAGATGCTCTTGAATCTTCACGAGGTGAAGATTTTTCCAACATAAAAATAAACATGTACAGGCTATCGGGATCATCCTAATCTTATGTTAAAGGATGAATATTAATAAATCACCACTCAAACTAAAAGTTTAAATTAATCAATCGGGTGAATTTAATTCATTTATAGATTTCAATACTCCTTTTATTTGTGGGCTTTGGATAATTTCGCACGGTCATTATAAATGCGGAAGAAATAAAAAATGCGGTGGTTCGAACATAAAACCTCTCATTCTCCAACCTAATGTACTAATTTATTAGATTAATTTTTAATTGATGGTTGAAAACTGAAAACGTGTAAGTTGGAATGATGAGATTTTAGAGAGATTTTTCGGTTATATTTAATGAGTATTGAGTAGTAGGATACCACACACAGAAGCCAAAATAGTCAAAAAGAATTAATGATTGATAATTTAGATGCAGATTTAGAATGGAGAACGCAAGGCAAAGGTTATGTGTAGAGAATATCATATCTGGGTAATGTATTCAACTTAAATTTTACTTAGTCATGTTAATTATTAGTTTTTTAAAAAAAGTCATTGGCCAATAATGTCAAATCAGCAATGCCAGCTCAAAGTTTGGAACTTTGTTGAATGAATTCAAAATAATACAATAAAGAATTTGTCTGATCTGCGCGCGTGTGTGTGTTGAGCTTGTGAAAGCTGGGTGTTGATGGTTGGAGCTAGGAAGGTGCAATAATAGTCAGAGGAGGAGGCTCGGACTGGTTCATCTTCTTCCTAAATTTGCTCCAGAAATGAAGAACATGCTCATGTCCTACCAATCTTGGTTCTTGGGAAGTGGACAAATTATTTTTCGTTTACAACAGTGATGGACAAATAGATAAATAGCTAATTTGTTTTGTTTTGAGTTTTTAAAATTCTCCAAACCGCTAATTTGGACTAAGAAACTATGTTTGAGTTTACATCCAAATTTTCTAGAATGGTAAATTCACGTGATTGGTGGGCTACACAGATAGATGCATGTATAGGAAACCAATTGGGAGGGGGGAGGGGGGAGGGGACCCATGCTATTTCTCATCTTCAATTATTGGGTTTGCATTATTTCTAAATTCTCTCTCCACTTTCTCATCTTCATCAGCAAATTACTCGAATAAATTCTTCAAACTTCAAAATCTTGCCAATTATATGTTACGTTGTTGTTCACAGAATTCGATTTTAAGTGTGCAACCACAACCGCTAAATCTTTGATTTGTTTACTAATATGCAAACTGTGCATGCAATGGAAACCAGCAAAATTTAATTTCCCGATAATCAAAGTTTCTTGGGCTAACTGGAAAATCCAAATATAACTTATCTAATCCAATCTAATTAACAATCAAAGAAAGAATAACAGCCTTTGATTCTCTTCCTAGCATATGCCAGTACACACCAGCGCCACACACTCCTCAGATAGGGTTCAATTATTCGTATTATTTTGTAATCTTCAATATATTTTTTTCCTCTTTTCAAAAAAAAAAAATATATATATATATATATCACCTACTTTTTTTAATGAAGTTGGTATCCTTTTCTAAAAAAAAAAAATCTAATAAAATCATGAAAAGATGGTGTATAAATTAAGTTGTGAGCACGTAGCTATACAAAATTTAAAAGGATAAAAAGAGGTCAACATCTGTCGCAATGCATGTCTCATAAAGAACAGATACTACACAACTTTTTATTTCTCGTTTATTATGTTTTTCTCTTGGTCTTTGTTTATGACTTCGGAAGAAGATTTTAGCCGACGTTTACTTTTCGTGGTTGAAAATTTAGGCTAATTTAGCACTTTAGGGTCCCTCTGTTGGTATTCTCGTTTTTAAGAAATATAATCTTTGATAAATATTTTTATTTCTTGTTTCTCATTTTTAAGTAATATTTCCAACATTATGTATAAATTTCAGAAATAACAAAATCCAATTTCTTGTTTCTAGTTTTTTTAAGTATAAATAAAAATATTATTTTATCATTTTATTTATAAAATATATAATAAATATTAAAAATCAATTTTCATATAAAAATTTTAAGAGAATTGGAAATAAGTTGTTACTAAATTTTTATTTTTATTTTTCAATAAAAAAACAAACATTATCGAAAAGACCTTTAACAGCTTATGTATTAAATCACAAATAGTTATAATATTTTATTTAAAGTGGTAAATTTAAATCGAAATAAAAACTAAAGTGACCCGACATAAATTCCTATTTTCAAATATTATTCGAAGAAAAAAAAATCAATCAGAGTAAACTACCACAACTAGGAATTAGTTCTTTAGGGTCTAAAATATCTTCAAATTTGTATAGAAATTTTGAAAACAACGCAAACAAATTTTTTATTTCTTACGTTCAATTAGTTCTAACCTAAATAAAATTGTTGTTTATATTCTTACCTCTATGAGTATTCAGAATACTAAGAGTCATGCAATTCTATTTTTCTTTATAACAAATGAGGGAATAGAGATAAGAAGCAAGCACTCCCGACCCAAAAATTTATATAAAATTTTGTTAGCAAATACTAGAAGAAAAAATTTAACCAGAGAGGGAATACAGCTTGACTCTATTATGAAAAAAAGAAAAAAATCTTACTTTTTAATGATTAATTTATTTGCATTATATTTAGATTTACAATAAGACTACGATTATGTAGGTTGATCAAATGACAGTATAAGTGAAAAAAGGAAGGTGTGGTCAAGGTCAGGCAACTGGGTCCAATAAATAGACCTATTATTATTCCAAGGGTGTTCAATTAATATTTAATATATTCATGAATTTGACATTTTAACTAATCATGTCACTCTTCTCAATCCCTCTCTTTTTGGGCATCATGAAATTTATTTTATCGATAAGATCTGTGGAACACCAACTGGTATTATTGGAGCAGACATACAAACGGTTAGCAGATTTCAGTAATAATGACTAAATTAAATTATATACAGCAAAATAATTAGTTTACAAAAATTTGATTAATCAAAGTCCATTAGGCCTGTGGCATACATGCGAATTATTATTATTATTACTATTGAATAAAAATTTTGAAGAATGTCACTTTAAGCAAAGACTTTAAAGTCACAACACATGCACGTCTCTTTTAGGACTATAATTTTCAGTATATGGCTAACCTTGTAACGGTGTCGTTTTGTGTCCAGCTTTCTTTTGAATCTGGATTCTTTCAAACTCAATTCCAAATTGAACTTGTTTTGTGCACAAGTGTCATTAAAACTATTAAATTGTTCGTCGTCCTTTGTACTTTGATGAGATGAAATTGTCTTAAACTTTCACAACGGTTTACCTTCCAACTTTTTATATACATAATCTTTCAAGGGTCAAAATTACGGAAACACAAATTGACAAAGAAAACTTCAAAATTTTACTTTTTAGCTAAGAAAGTTAGGTGAAATTTGTTCATTTCTTTCCCCTTTTTTTTTCTTTATATTAAAAAAGATGAAGATGACGCCCCGAGACCAGACAAAGTTAAAGAAGCAAATAGATTCCTGTGGAGAGAATTTAGATCGAGAGAAATTCTTATTTATTTATGAAGTAATTTTAGTATGACTAAGCGGATGACTCACGCTTATCAAAATCACTATCATTTTAAAATGATATGTTTGGCAATGATTCTCAAGTGATTTTTAAATAATCTAAAATCACTCTAAGTGATTCTCGGTCAATTAATTGGGAGGTGAATGCCAAGTGATTTTTTGTAAAAAAAATTTAATAAAAAATCATTTTAAAATAATTATTGTTTTAAATTTTAAATTTATCTTCCTATTTCACCTCATTTGAATCTTAGAATTTGAGAAATTTTATTTTTTCTCATTTTGAGTTTTGTGTCACTCTAATTTTTTCTTTCAAATTTTTGTAATCTCTCCCTAAATTATTAGTTAGTTCTTCATCTGCTTTCTCTATCTAAATTTTTGTCTCTCACCCTCTAAAATTTTTCTTTCTAAGATTTTTGTTATATCTAACTTTGTTCAAATTCTCTCTTTAAACTTTAAAGATTAATCATTTAAAATCACTCTTAATTATATAAAAATATCATTTTAACAAAATGGCTAAAATCACCCATTATAAAATCATTCTCAATCATCCCTTAGCCTTAAACAAACACTTCTGGGATGAATTTGGGTGCTCAATAATCTTAAAATATGTTTCCATAACATTTTTACGTGTATATATATTTGACAATATTATATTATAAATGAAAGGACAGTAATAAAATAAAATTAAATTATATTTAATATATGATCATTCACTCCTTTTTAGTTCAGGTGGAGATGAAAGATCCAACATCTAACCTTGGGAGGGTGGGACTAAATCATCTCTTAAGATTTGTAAAAACGTAAGTAATGAGGATAAGTATCTTAAAAGAGGCTTTTTAGGTAAAATAAAATAGAATATCTTCATAATTAAAAATGTTATATCCAAAATAGATAATATCATCGATTATGAAGAGGGTTTGTTGCCTTGACCAATATCATATTTCTTACAAAATTTTATCTTTTGTATATATTCTCTCTGACAGAATATTTCCTACCACTCGCCCCCCTTACCCATCGCAATCAAATAATTGAAATCAAATTCATATGATAACGTAAGTTACAACACACACTACTTTATTTTAGTATCATCTCTTTTTATTCAACATATGGAACAAAAAGTATAGGTTTACATATAATACATACACCAGAATATATCCGTAGCATGCCATCCTTCGAAAGCTGCAACAGATTAGAGGCCAGTCTCACAAATTAAATCTTCCTCTCCCCACCCAAAATCCACATCTTTTAATTAATTTCACAACCCACAAAAACACCCCCTTCCTTATTCTCTGGTAACAAATAAACGACGGATTTATATATATATATAATACACTTTTTGGGACGAACCACTTCTTTTCTTAATATGTATGTACTGTTTAATTAGGTGTTTGTTCAGTTGAGCCTTCGGCAATTAGACCTAATCTCTCCCTCGTCTCCGGTCAAAGGGCTGATATTTCCCATGTTGATCATGGACTGCCCAAAGCTGTCGAAGAACTGCTGCTGGCTGCCGGCGAACATTTTGACGATGTCCACGGTGTCCTCGCCGGGGGTCGAGAAGAGGACCTGGTCGCTTCCAAGAAGGCCGAAGTTGGACTGGAGGTTGGTGAAGTAGTTGTTGTCGAAGTCGTCGGGAGTGGTCGGGTCCAGGTTCAAGAAAGTGTCTCTGCTGCTCGAACAAGCCTGTCGGAGCTGGGCTGCGTATGAGGCGTCCAGGGTGTTGTCTGGGTTTGAAACGTTTAAACGTCGGTCGAAAAATCGACATCTCGAACGACCGAATGTGTGGGCACCTACCACATTATAGGTTAGATATCCAATATATGAATTAAATTTACTCAAGATCCATTAATTGAGGGGTGATTTTTTTCAAAAAGAAAAGAGAGGTGATTTATTACACGAATGATTAGATCATATTATTCCAACTATTTATCCCCAACATCTTCATTTCTCTCCTACATGTCACTGTGGCCGACAAACCAAGATAAATTATTTTCATAATATGTATATGATTTGATTTAAAGGGTGCAAAAAAGTAAGCTGCCTCAATCATTAATCCAGAGAGAGAACGTATATGTTGGTAGAAATTAAAACTTAGGGTATTTGGGGAAAGAAGAAATGACTGTTTGATTTGGATTATGAATTGAATGTAAGAAAATTCTATGGGACTCAAAATGTAGTAGAAATAGAGAATAACAAAAATATGTTACGCGTCTATAGATAATAAAAAAGTTACTAGATTAGATTTTAGATGCAGACAAATAAAATAATAGAGGATATTTTAATTGAGATGAAGGAAAAAGAAGGAATGGGAGGTGAAGGAAACCAACAAAATAGATAATAATTGCGATAAAATGATGATCATGACATATCTAATTTAAACAAATTTATAAAACATGTGCACACAAAAAATCCGCCTATTGCCAGCTCATACGCAATCTATATGCTACAACTCGATTGACTACTTTGACTTGATCAGTTTAATATAACATAAATACGACAAAATTTAAGTGTTTATTAATAAGCAGGTATATTTGAATATCTTCGACTTATTAATTATTGTTTTTTAATATTTGTGAATAGGAAGATAACTTATTAAATTTTATTCATATGTCTCTTTCAATTCTCGAAAAAGTAAAATTTTTCTAAAAACAAAAAGTAAAGATTATATTATATTAGAAAAAGAAGGAAATATTTAAAAGACGTGAAATTTTCACGATTGACTTGACAAAACGAGAGAGGAAGGAGGCAGTGATGTACGTCGTACAGGAGAGAAGTTGTGGTCTCTTTTTTTTTTTTAAAGAATAATGTAGATGCAAGTTAAATTAGGAAAACATATTTAATTTAAATGGGAATTTTTGTCTGGTTAATTAAAATGATAGAGTTCATTTGTAGTTACCAGATAAAGCAACGAGGTCAGTAGAATCAAGGCCAACTCTACGAAACTTTTGTTTAAGTTGAGTAACATTTTCGAAGGGACTTGGAAGGCTAGTATTAGCGCCTTGTAAGTTTGCCGTTCGCCTGTCTCTTCTTCCCAATTGAACCTCCCAGCACGGTCCTCCTGCCTACAACCAACAATACAATTCAATTCAAGTGGCTAAATTTATTATAATCCATCACAGTGGTAACTTAGTTAATTTACCAATCCCTAAACAAAATACAAATAAAAGATAAATTTCAAAATTTGTTATAGTTACCAACGAAACAGATTCTACAGAAGCAATGGCTAAGATGTCAGCACAAGAGACGACGCCAGGACAAGCATCTTCGACGGCAGCTTTGATGTCGTCAACGATATTAAACCCGGTAATATTTGCATTTCCAGGAGCACCAAGCTCACTCACTACGCCCGGTTGATCCTCTAGTAAAATCGACCCATCACACCCCTGTGCACCTTAACAAATTTCAAGTAAATTTTTTGTAACGCATGCAAAAAATAATGTATAGAAATTGAATTTACGTCTACGAAGCAGTCGTGGAAGTGAAGGCGAATGAGTCTAGCTCCAGCTCGGTCGTCATTCTCCAAAGCCTGCTGAACCACACCGCGGACAATGTTCGACAAATCGGGACATGACTCATCGTAAAACGTGGGGCACAGCTGAGCTTTAGAAACTCCGACCATCAACCCCACCAACAAAAACAAAGCAATAGCTCTGAAGGAAGCCATTTCTTTTTTTTCTATTGGGAATCTGAGCAGAGCAGTGATGGATTTGGGGAGGGATTATGCGTCCTTTTATAGATGAAAAAAAGGGGGGGTCTTTTTTTTTCTCTTGTAAGGAAAAAGAAAAGGAAGAAGGTTTTATGAATATGACAAGGCGGTGGTGGCTCAATCACTGGAGAGGGTTTACGTGAGAGGGCCGATGAACGTTGATTGCAATGAGACAGAATATTGGCTCTGTTTACTTTTCAAATAGGAAGGGAATTAAACTTTTTATTCTGATGGCTTTTGATTATACGTTTTTTGTTCGTTCTGTATTCATGATTTTTATTTTCAAGTACCAACCTCTGTCTCATGCAAAATAATAGTGTATAATAATAATAATAAGGAAAATACTTCGCCTTATCCTTCAAGACCACCATACGTGTCCAATATCATAGAGACGTGTGTTGCCATTTTGCATTTTTATTATCTTCTCTCTCACTATAACGTCTCACATTTCTCTTTTTTCTCCCTCTATAACTTTTCACTTCCTCATTTTTTTATCTTTCTTTTCACAAAATCACAAATACTTTTTTTTTTTTAATTTACTGTACCTTATTATCCAATTTTATAAGTTTGTTTTGTCGGAAGAAGAATAAAATAAGAAAACAAAATTTGTAACAAATGGAAAAAATATTTTTAAATATGTTGTATTGAAAAGATATAGTAAAAATATATACAATAAATTTGGGAAAAAAAGTACTTGTAATTCTATGAAATGGAAATAAAAAAATCCAAAAAGGAAAGATAAACAGTGGAGGTAAGTTGTTGTAAAAGAGCAAAAAAGAAGGAAGCAAAAAAGAAGGAACTGA